TATCACACAATATCATGTCATACAATCAGTACAATATGCCGAAGATCGGATACCTTCGAACTCAACCCAATTCATACAATGTCAATATGGTCTTCTAACCTAAAGTTCAGTATTTTATGTCTTTTATTACTTAACTTATATACATCCTAATTAACTTAGTCTTACAACTTCTTAATGTTGTTCTAACCCATAGTTTTTTTTCTAAGAATCTAATTTCATTAATTTCAAATAAACCCAAAACCTTTTTTTATACCAAAAATACACTTTCATCATATGATTTCATAAAAATTTATAGATTATTACTAAAATAGGTTACTCATATTCTCATAGAATCACTATATATGTATATAAAACTAAGGCTTGAGAATACTCTCGTTACCTGAAAATGGTTCCTCAAAAACAAGTTTTCTGAAAGATCTAACAGAGAGATTCCACAATATTAACAGGAATATCATCTTAAAGATGAAGTTTTCTAAGTATTTCAAGATAGATATCTTAATATAAGAAGAAAACTGAAGGAAAATAATAAAATAGATATCTGAGCTTTGAGAGACTTACTTGAATTCGAATGAAATCGATGTTTGAGCTCGAATCTAGAAGAGATTTGAAGTTCTAGAGAGTTCTTCTTAGAAAAAGGAAGGAGAAAGAACAGATAAAATAAAGAGAGAAGGTCGTAGGGTGATAAATGAATGTTTTTAAAGCCGGGGTTCCTTAAATACCATTTCAAACTCGCGCAATCTTGCTTGAGCGAGCTCCACCCTTGCCTAGGTGAGCCTTCCTCGCCTAAGCGAGACAACCTGACAGCAAAACTATTCATCTTTTTGATATTCTCGCCTAAGCAAAATACAATCTCGCTTGAGCGAGACAACCTGACAGCAAAACTACTCATCTTTTTTATATTCTCGCCTGAGCAAGATTGGATCCAGAGAGCACCCTATATTTCCTTCAACTCCTCGCCTAGGTGAGCTCTATCTTGCTTGGGCGAAATGTTCCTAGCCTAAGCGAGATTCCTTCTCGTTTGGGTGAGAGGACAGTTGAGACAACTTTATCTCATCTCACTTGAGTGAGAGAGTTTCAGAAAATTCTACCTCACTTAAGCCAGATTTACCTTTTATCTAAATTCCTATTTTTCCTACACAATAACAACAAAATGGAGGGTTTTACATAAAGACACAACTCTAACTAATGTACTAGGAGATTGAGCCACCACATCTCTCTGTATATCTTTATTTAATCCACCCACATAATAGTTTAAAAGAGCTTCAACGGATAATCCTTGAGATCTATTAGCAAGTGTCATAAACTAAAGATAGTAATAAGAAACTGAACTTGATTGAGTTAATTTGAATAACTCTACCATCGGGCAATCAAAAGGAGAAGGTCCAAACTGCGATTCCAAAAGTGTAGTTAGCTCGAGCCACGAATTAATAGCAGATAACTTCTGGAGCATATGAAACCACGACACCACTTCTTTATTGAAATGAATAGCAGCAATATCCACATGATTTGCATCAGGAGTCTTGTGATACGAAAAAAACTTTTCTGTCTTGAAGATCCATTCCAACACTGGAGTTTGACCATCGAAATGCAAAAATTCCAATGAAATTTCCTTTATTGCAACATTAGTAATCAAGGTCGCTCCACTACTTGAGCTTGTTCCACTAAGAGGTTGAGTCTGATTCTGCACTAACAGATCAATTGCTTATTGCATCTGTTCCATCCTGTCCAAATTCACCGTGTTCAATTGAGAAACCAAATCCTTTTGCGTTTGATCCTTTGTTTGATTAGATTTCCCAATTGACAAATTTCCTCACCTTGCAACATAACTTGAGCATGCAAATCCCTTAAATGAATGTTCTCAGCCATTTGATGTCAATGAAAGCACCAATAAAACAAAAGAAGAAAATTGAATTCAAGAACTCAATTTTATTGAAGGAAGAATCTCCACAATTACAGAAGTAAGGAGAATTACAGAAGAATCTTTAGAGAAACAAGAACATAAATTACAGAGACGAAGATTAGAAAAAAGATGAACAACAAAAGTGTATCAAAGAGAAACAGAAAGAAGAAACCAGAAGAATATTAAAGAAAATGATTCTAACACTCACTATGCTTTTCTCTCAAAGCTAAAAGTCCTTTAAATGCACATTCCTTCTACAATTTTGTGCGCTTTTGCATGTAACTGCCTCAATTAATCTGCCACGTATCCTAATGCTTCAACAGCTTTTGACGTACTTTTCTCCCTTCTTCTCTACACATTACACTGTGACCTTTTATATAAGAATCAAATTAAAAAAAGATGTTAAGAAAATGAAAACTAAATTTATAATCTAATCATAAATAATTCATATTTATGAATTTTTTTAATAATATACATGCATGAATTATAAATTCATATTTTGAATTATGTTTCTGATGTCATAATTAGTATGAACAACTTATTTTTAATTTTAAAGGTATAACTCGTACACATTACATTACCCTGCTCTGAAGATATCTTTACTGTGTCTTGTGCTAACAACCACATTAATGTGGTATGTTCGTCGGTGTTAGAAAAATTACTTAGCACTATTTTCCAAACTGTTTTAGAATCATTGAAGCATAGGAAAAAGGAAAAGGGATATATGATGGGAAGCCGTAACCTAATGCCATTTGCTATATATTGATCGCTGTTAATCAATTATTCATACTCTTTTAGCTAAAATTGCTACTAACTATATCACTTTTCTTATAAAGAAGGTAGCATTTTTGCTACAAAGAGTGGTATGAAATGTTTGAGAGGGACACTGATATTCCTTTCTTATTTTGTGGTTTATAATGTTGTGGGTTCACGCCATGGACACTTAATGGATTGAAAGGAAAAAACTTTTCCATTACATCAATCATTTTATAATGCTTGATGTTATCATCATGGAAGAGCAACATTCATAGAACTAAAGTGGAAAGATAGAATATTAACATAATTATTAACTTACAAAACTTACCTTTGGTTTGTCCCTTTGCTTTTGTGTTCAACAAGAAACGTCAAGAACCTAATCCTTCAACTCAGCTTAGACACCCTTCAATAATAAAGTAACTTTTAACACAGGAAATGTAGAGTTCAATTATTTAAACATCAAATTATTGATCAACGTATTTAATATCATACATATATTAATATATTATCTCTCAAATTTTGTTTTTTATTTCTTTTATATGCGTGCATGTTAAAAATACTTTAGAAAAATGAATGGTCTCAAAATTATTATACAACACATGCATATTATCTAATAGTTGTTTCACATTTTAATTTTTACACATTCCTTTAATCTTTCTCGATCTTTTCTGTCACATTTATCACTTTTATTATTATTATTTTCTCTCAAGGTGTATTAAGTTTAGAAATGTGAAAATTATTATTATTATTATTATTATTATTATTATTATTATTATTATTATTATTATCACAAAGCAGAGTCGAATTGATTAAATGTTATACAGATTGAGTCCGACTTAATTTTCAATTTTAAAGTTAGAATCTAACCAGCTTATTTGATTTGACATTTTTAAAGTGTGGCCCTATTTCAAAAGTTTAGTCTGAAATTAGGTCTTTTGAAATATGTCCAAAAATAAATTAAAGTAAGTTGATACATTTCAATTTAAATTTAGCTCAACGAATTTAAATTCTTAAATAAAAGAAATATATAATCTCAAAATAAAAATATATATAATAAAATATATTAAGTAGCTTCTGAAGAAACCAAACAATATCTATAACAAACTTTTCTTTGTTATGAAGTCACTAAAATTATTATCTTGTATACAACTTGAAAATTACTATACTATTTTTTTAAAAGTTTAAACAAACAGCACTTTTTGGTATACCATCAATAGCGTGTTAGTGGAGTTATGGGCACAGCCTTATCGTGCACAGTCCATTTCTTAAGAGTAGTAGGTTTATTTTTTTTAAAAAAAGTAATATGTTTCAAAGGGATAAAAAGAATGGAAAATATTTTTAAAAATTAAAAAATATATATATATATAATATTTATGGAAGTAAAAAATTATATTAAATGTATGTTAATTGAAAATTTTATTTGTTAACTTTAAAATTTTATTGAATTAAAAATACTTATTAAAAATATCCTACTTTCTATACCTCAACTTTTAAGCATTGTCAATCATACAAAACAAATAAATAATAACCAATCAACTTATAAACATTATCAATAATATATAACACACAACAATCAACCATCTATTTTAACTCACACTCAATGTTCTCTTTCAACTCTCCCTCTTCCAGTCCCTTACCCCACACCCATTCCAAGCTTAGAAGGTGAGTGACTTAAAAAAAATATATATTTAAGTAGATTTCAAATTCACTTAAGGGAGCACATTTTCTTAATTTTTTGTCGTTTCTTAAAATTTACGCGGCGCAAAATTAAAACTATACATGCAGTTGTATATCTTCCGCTAATTATCTGACTGTAAAACAAATAGTGTAAAAAACAATATGATATAATCATCTTCCATCAGCTAACAGCTTCTGATTAAACTTTTGCCTAGGAACTTTCACAATCTTCTCTTTTTCCTTTCTCCATAAACAAACAAGCAATTGAACTGCCAAGCAAACACAACCAATTAAATTCCAACAATATCCCTATATTTTATTAAGAGTGAAAAATATGCCGACAACGCGAAAATTCTTCCAAACAGGGGTGCACAGTTTTGTTTTACGATTGTAACCAGAACTTCCATTATTTTTCTTCCCTAATACAAAAACAACAATCCCGAAGGCTTACAACTATTCAGGCTTCTGATTGATTAAATCTATGATCACAAATGAAAGAATGACTATATGTTGATTTCAACTTAATCCTTTTCCCTTTACTTTTTCTTTGTTGATTTCTTATTTTCTTATCTCCCTATCTACAGTGATCAGGCATCCCCTCATTCATCACATTGCTGACCAACCATACAATCATGAGAACTCGTTCTTCCATGAAGAGACTGATCAGAAGGGTCAGCAATTTGCCAACCTTTATTCATCCAATTCTAGATTTCCAAAGAAATCCGTGTCTTTATTGGTTTCAATTTCAAACCCATACTCTCTGGTGAATAAAGCTCGGGAGAAATGCATGATGGACTCAAGGGGCTTCTTGGGCTGACACTCGGCTTGGATGGCCTATACAAGCCATATCCCATAAGAAAGTACTCGATTGGTATTAACATCGCATGAGGCTGCTCCTCTGTCACCATTGAACCACATGCTTGTACCTGCAGTTCCACAACAGCTATTAAATCTAAGTTTATCTCAATATTACACAATCTTACCACAAATTAATAGGGAGTTGAACAATTTTACGCACCTCAACTAAGGCACTTAAACGCCTGTCTAATTTTGAAGTCATATGCAGAGCCTCCGAATGAAATGGAGACATATCCCCGACAAAAATTAGTGAACGGCAATGTAATTTTCTCAATCCTTCACTTATGTCAGGTCTCCTGCTAGATGCCAATACAAAGTTAAATGAAAATAAAATATATCTATCCTTAAGCAGCAAGCACAGTTGTGCATTGAAACAGATAAATCATCAGCCACGAGTCACGAGTGCAATTGTAAATAACCACTTCCTGACAGATGTTGCAACCTGAGGAATAATTAATATCTTGCGGAGAAATCACCATTTCTACAACCCCCTGCCCTCAAAATGAAAGACGAAAATCTCTAGTTTGGAAGTGTAATCATACCCATTAATAGCTTCAAGGAACCGCCACACGTTCAAACTCTGCCTCTCATCCAATGACTGTCAGAAAAATATTAAAACAGACTCAGCAAGTAGCTTTCAGCTTCAAACAACCAGCTACCATTTATGATCAAGTCCCTACATGAAAACCAAAAAATATATTGACTAACCCTTCGGCATGCTTTAACTATATCTGACTCCATTAATTGAGTACCACCTCGAATTTCCTATCACCACAAATAAACTCCAATAGTTCAGCCTAACAAACTGGAAGTAAAACAAGGAATCTTTTGGAAGCATAAATATACCTTGCTAAAGTATCGCTTCAACAAAATTTCCTTTACCATCCCACACATGCCGTAAAAGTATAATAAATTTGAGATGACCTGCAATTAATACAAAATCTTCAGAAAAGAGTGAGATATATTATTACAAAACACGATTGTTTAGGCATAGGAAAAGAACCTTGCTGTACAACCATTCAGTCCAAGATGGTTCTTTACATAGAGGAGAAACAAGTATCAAACCAAGAACTCGTTGTCTATACTTCATCTGTTGTGAAGTGTAAAAAAGACCTGTAAGTATCCTAAAGCCATTTAAGAAGGGCGAAGACACACACGAGAACTTACAGCAAATAAGGTAAGAATGTAAGCCCCAGCTGTTACACCCATACACATTACAGCACCAAGACTGCAAAACAAGAACAAGTAAAGGATCAATCAGTTTCAAGAGTCGGCATCCATCACTTCCAATCTGTCCATTCTAGGAGGAACTTGGATTCAACATTGGATATTAAAAACAAAACAGGTGATATTAAAAGACAAATAGAAATTGCTCTAGAGCAATTTTCCTCATGTCACTAAATGGAAAGCGACTGCTGATTAAGCTACAACACACTTACCCAAAAAAGTTGAGAACCTCGGCTATTTGATCAGCCAAGTCATCTGCAGAAAGAATTGGGTAATCTGAATCAATTGCAGCAGCTCCCAACTGCAATAACTCTTGAAGAAAGCACAAGATGATAAGGAACCAGGTAAATTATAAACATTCAACAATGTAGAACTTTATAACAGTAAGGAGATAGGAAACAAGCAACACTATAGAAAAGCTTCAAGATACAAAGCTACAGACCTCATGCCCAGGCGGACTAATATGATAAACGCAGAAATTGTGGAGCAGAAGGTAATATGCCTCAGGACAAAACAATAACCCCTGAAAGCAGGAGACATCTGATGAAACCACGTGCATGAAAACAAATAGTTAGAATGTCAGTGCATCAAGCATCAACAAAAGGAAGAAAAAATGTTGAAGAGAGAAATCAATGTTTGGTAAAAGTCACAAAAGACCATTTTAAATTTGATTTTTCTCTGCCTAAAACCTTTTAGGAGAAAACCTTAACTTCTCAGTAAATACAAAAATACCTTCATGAGAAACTAAACCATTTTTTTTAGGGGGAAAAAGAGCAAGCATTTAACATTTTCAAAACCCTAGTTAAATCGAATCTACTTAAATATACTGGGAATGAATAAAATAAATCTATAAAAGCCGTAATTTTATGATAAACAAAACGAAATGCTCTGGTGAAAAAGAATAAAGAAAAAAATTAGGCAAATATCATAAAAAAGAAATCCTAATTTCCATTTAACTTACAATTTAGAGCCAAATCAGGATAAGTGATAAGAGCTGGCTTATCCTGGTCTCCATATACAGCAACGGATACAGAACCATAACGTGTTCTGATTATATGCTCCTGCACAAACATATCAGTATCATATTAATCAGTAAGGGCGTGTGAAGTAAACCATAGCACACAACAAATTGCTCATGATCATGCTATACCATTGCCTTATATTTTGTATACAATAAAATGAAATTTTATAATACCTTTATGTTTCTATAATGCTCTCTTTTCATTTTCAAGACGTTAAGAACTGTTAATGATGTGAGAGCATTTAGCATGTGAACCAAAAACGAAACGAAAGTCACATGCAAAGAAGCAATTCATAGCAGCTTTTAAAAGTAATACAGAAAAGACTAAAAACAAAATCACGTTTCTTGAAACAACACAAATGTTAAAGCATTTAGAAACTCTAATGAACTAAATATTAATATCGAAGAGTGAAGTACCTAGAATAATTGAAGTAATTGTGAGAGATATGAGAAGCAAAACGACATGGAAAATGGCGTTTCAATGGATTAAAATGAGAATAGAAAAATACCTTTGGAGAAGGAGAGAAGGAATCGATGTCGAAAGAGAGAGAATCGCTTGAAGTTGAATCGGCCATGGAATGGGAATGGGAATGAGAGTTGAAGTTTATATTGTAATGGGAGTGAGTGAGTGAGTGAGTGGAAATGAATGAACTCGAGCGAGTCAAAACGAGTCACCGACGATTCCAGCGGCGTGGCACTTGTTGAGGGCATCACGAGCGGTCCGCATCAACAGTTGGAACCTATGACTCTCGACAATTTTTTTATTTTTTTATTTTTTGCTTTTCTTTCTCTTTCTTATAAAATTTAATTTAAAAAATAAAATAAAATAATTCATAATAGAAATTTTAAATTATTTATTACGAATAAACTTTAAAAATATTAAATGCAAAAAAGTCATGTCAGTAATAAAGAGTAGAATAATTCAATAATAAAATTATAAAAGAAGTTTGCAAAACTAATTCAGGTAATATTTAAGAATATTAATTTATAATTACATAAAAACACCATTAATTGAAAATATTAAATTTTAAATAAAAATAGAAAGGAAATGCGTGATATTTAAAAACAAAACTAAATTGAAAGATTACAACTGTCTCAAAAAATATATTCAAGTTCAATATATATGCATTAAACATATTAAAATTTGATATAAAAAATATATTAAATGATATTTAACACTTAAAATATTAGCAATCATTTGCAAGATCGTCGATGTAAATGAAAATATTTAATTGTCGCAGTATTAAAGCACACATTAAAAAGTTATTGTCTTTTAAAATCACAGCGTTCCCAAAGTTATTATTGGTCTTAATTTTCTGATTCTTGTAATATCTGAAATAGATAAATTTTACTGGTGCTTAAAAAATAAAATAAAAATATTTTATGTTTTTATACACGTCAAATAATTATAATGGTTGATTTCAGTGATAGGATTAATAATGTATTTAGAAATAATATAAATATCATTTAATATTTTAATATAATTTAGAAATAATATTCAATACACTTTTAAATTTAAAACAATTATAACGATTTATTTTAGTGATAAAATTAATAATATATTTAAAAATAATATAAATATTTTTTAATATCTTAATATAATTTAGAAAAAATAATTAATACACTCAAGTTTAGCATCGTAGCTACCTTAAAACAAATGACGGCATGAAATCGTCACTGTGTTGTGGCCAAATTTACTGAATCGGTTTTGTTCATTTTTGGAATTGTAAAGATGATTCACATGGGTTTTATACATTACAATAAATGAAAGATGCAGAGTCAGCTCTCAATAGACATGCAATGCAATGCTTTTGAGACGTGTTTGGTTTTATAAACAAAGATGGGCTCCACAACGTTATGCATTGCACAAAATATCACTTTCATTTTAGAAATTGGCTTCCTCTGTCCCCTACAATTGCTTTGCCATTTTACGTATCAGCTAAACAATAATTCAGTATTCATGCAATATAAAACAAAACGATTTAAATCAGCCACTGCTTTTCAAAAAGGGTACATGACTACTTTATTAGTATTCAAAATCAAATATTTATTATATAAATTAAATTTTTTTAAAGTGTGTATTTAAAATTTTGTTATTGTTGTTTTTTGGTCTTTCAGCTTTCAAGACAGACAATTTTGCACGCCAGAGGAAGCAATTTTGTAATACGTTGTGATATGGGAAATTAACTTTGTTTTCTTTTGTTTACCAGTCTTTGTACGTAGGAGTACATCTTAACTAAAACGTAATAATTTCTCAAATGTTTCGTGTTTAATTAGTACATCTTGATCAAATAAATTGAAATTCTCTGAATAATGCAGTGATTATTTACGTCGTTTAGCTGCAAACACTTTGTTAAACAACCACGATAAAACCATGATGCAAATGCTTTCATAGAAAATAACAAAATATGCATGCAATGAACGAAAATAAGAATACTCAATGAGGAAGATAACATCAAATGATCTGACTGTAATTTTTAAACTTAAGATTATTCCTTATCATACTATCTCTCTCTTCAAAACACGCCACTGTATAAAAATTTAATACTTTTTTGGATTTTAAAAAACTCTAGAATTAGTAATTACTTTCTATTATAACATATAACATTAAATTTATTCGCAAATTTATACTATTTGTAGTTTTAAATTAACTTATTTGAAGTCTTTCTTGTTGCATTAAAATTTATTTTTTCTTTTTAAAATAATATATTAAAAGCGATATTCATTATTCTAAAGTCTTTTTTCGAAATTCAAATTTTTAAATTAATTATTCTTATTTTATAATTTAAATTTTTTATGTTTTAATATGTTTTTTGAAATTTTATTGAAATTTTTGGTTTTAAATTTCGACCCAATTTAGGTAAAACGTCTAAAGAAATGCTTATAAAAAATTAGCATAAAAATAAATAAAACTTCTCTTATAAATTAAAAATAATTTATGTTTTATTAATTTTTGGAAGTTGTCTCATTTAATTTCTCTAAAATTTGAAGTAATAAGTTACTTTTAATTTATAAAAATAAATGTTATTTATTTTTATACTAAATCTTTCTTTTATAAAAATATATGAAAAATAATAATAATGCATATTTTCTTTTATTGTTTACTTATCGATCAAACATAATTTTAATTTATAACTACTATAAAACTTTTAACTCGTTATTGTATTTCATTAACTTTTTAACAAAATTTAGTTACAAACTAAAGTGTAACATTAAAGTATTTGTGTATCCTCATCAAAATGGTCCTATAGACACTAACGTGTTCTAAGAAAAAAGAAATGTTCATGGAGGGCCTCTATCATGGATACTGATAGAAATCACAGTGGTGAGAAAAAAGAGAGTACTAAATTAGAGTACATCAAGTGTATAAGAATTAAATGCTACTCAGTTAGACAAGTGATATAACTTCATGAATATAACTAACACGATTGATATGTTGAAGCATTTGTTTGAGAAGCATGTGATAGATGTCTGATGAATGCAATGTCTCTACAAGATATAATAACGTGTCTAACCACCAACCAAGCAATGCTTCTTAGAAAAGATTCTTAGTACATTAAGCACAAGTCAGCATTTTGAAAAGAAGATATCTCCAACATGTCATAGGAAAAAAAAAGAGTGGCATGAAGAACTTTCACATGTTATGTTGTCTGTCCACTCAAGAAAACTAAAATAAATGTTAAATTAAGAATTAATAAAAAAAAAAAAATTTCAAGAACTAAAAACACGATTTATAATTTTAAAATTAAGTGAAATGTGTATTAATTCAAGAAGTGCAAATAACTTTTTACGTATATAGATAGTTTAAGTGACTATCCACATTTAATTAACCCTTAATATTCATTTTACATATTTTAACTAGAGTTGTCAAAAAGTTCAATTAGTCCAGCTTTAACTCATTAAACTAGAGTTGTCAAAAAATCTAATTGATTTGGCCCTAGTTCTAACCCATATGAACTAGGGCCAAAAAGCTCCATAAATCAAAAGTTTTATGGACAAAAAGTCCACTAGATTAAGGTTAGAGTCTCTAATATTATTGAAGATGTGTCTCATAAAATCAAGTCTGTAAATAGAAAACAATGTTGTTGATGGGATTAAGTGTAAAATCATTGAAAATTCTCACTATGTGTATTTATGACAGTACTTTATAACCATAGTGTTAAGAATTTAAAGAGACTTATACAAAAGTGTGAAAGAATTCTAAAAAGAATATTTGTTGTGAGGTGAGAATTTTTTGTAAACAATACTTGATAAAATGAAAAATTCTTCGTTGCATACAGCGTAGGCCATGTGATTTAGGGTCAACTCGTATGAATTCCTTATGTGATCTTATTTTTCCCAAATGCCACAATTTATTGTTATAGGATCATCTAATAGAGATAACTTGTGATTTTTTTAACAAAACTTTTAACCAAAATTATTGTAAAAACATTCAAGTGTTGAACTCGAACATCTAATCAAACAACTAATAATCTGTAAACAAGATAATTGTCATAATCATTTTTTAACCATCTCAACACTTAAAAGGCTATGAAAAATTTTGCCTTGATGTCAAAAAGTTCTTCGGGGGTGTAACCATGCAATGAAGACAGAAGAAAAAGACAATACAAGAAGTAATGGTCGTATTTTAACAAACCTAAGCTTGGTGAGCTCCTTAGATCATTGAATATTCGTAAGCCAGGACCTAATGAGATCTTGGAAGAAAGTGCAAGTATTTATAGCCCTTATACACTGTTTGGATGAGCTCAAGTTGCAAAGAAAGAAAAGAAATTGGGTGTCATGATTTGAAGAAAGAATATTGTTAGATTTTTAATTGTTTGCTGATTTTGTCCTTTGGTGAAAAAGTAAATAAATTAATCACTGCAGTGGAGTTCATACTAAAACTCTCCCCACTTGTGTCGCGATTTTGAGTTTAGTATGTCACACTGCAGGTGTTATTGTTGTTTTTGTTATTGTTACATAATTTTAAAAAATAATATAAAAAGTATTAAATAAAAATATTATATTAAAAGTTTAATTTTTTATTAAAATAACTTAACTGTTATTATTATAAAAACATTTTTTATACAATTTATTTATTTACTCTTTTATCTATCCAAATAGGTGAAAGGAATTTTTTCACTTCGTTCACTCTTATTTTTATTAATTCAAATAACGTTTTTTTAGTTTTATTTTTTCTTCTCCTATTTCTTTCCCTTTTATTTATTTCCTCTCTATTTTATATCATCACCCAAACAAACCGTTGAGGCAAACCAAAAGCGCACTAAACTTACTATTTTGATGACTACAAGTTGTAAAAGCATCACACACACACATGAGTCTAGAGATGATAAATGATCTTTCATATACCTTAAAGGATAAAGATGTGGAGAGAAAAAAAATGTGAAAATATAAACGTGATCTTTCGTTTAAAAGAATTTCTAAGAAAACTCTCCAATGATGGTTCAAGTTCATGTAGAAAATTTCACTTCATCTTATTATCTTGTATAAAATTTTAAAGTCTTTGTGCATCTTATACAAGTATTATTAACATAAATAAAATTCAAATATTACTCATTGAACATATAAATATTACACTCTCCAATCTTTTTCAAAATAATCTTTTCAAAAATCTTGGTAGTCTATAATATAAAACCCTTCACAAATTTATAAGTGCGTATGTTATTTATTAACATATTTTTCCCTTATTATTAAACTTTTCTAACTTATTAACAATTAATATAACAATAAAACTTAACTTCAACTAAAGATAAACTTAAAATGTTATGATTAAATTTTTAAAATAATAATACAGTATATACTTTTAACTTTTCTTAACCCTATGATTTAATTGAAAGAATCAAATAAAAAAAAGTGAAGGAAGTATATTAAAGAAATATTCAAAATTTTGTATTAGAATTTACAAGAATAAGATTAAAAGATACTAATTCATAAAAAAATTAAAATAGTAAATATTTGAAATTAGATGTAGCCAGACTTAAAACTATTTAATTAGATATTCCAACTAAAATGAGTTTTTCTTCTTCTTTCTTTTTATTTGTCAAATGAACTAAAATGAAATTGAAAACCCAGGTTGAACGAATTTTCAAAAATATACTTTTGACCTAAGGTCTGTATGCCAAAAAGACATTGGGCCTAGTGTTTCCAAATTTCTACCACCAAAAGTAACAAATATGGATCTTCATAAAAAATTATTAGCCCAACGTCCTTATACAGTTTCGCCTACAACATGTATTGCTTGTGCTCCATTACATTCGAAGCTTAGTGAAACCAAAATATATCCACCAATGCACCGAGCTCCCATCATCCAAAGCATCATTGTTGCCTGAATATAATTGAGTTTTCTCTGACCGAATTCTCATGAAATTGACATCTCATAAACTTTATCTGTGTTTTATTATCATCCTCAATCCCTTCTTTGCGCTTTCTTGACCCATGAGCATCATCATCAGCAGTGAAACTTGTGGTGTCCACATTATCAAGCATCTCTATGTCACCATCAAGTTTATCTGCCACAGCTTCACGCTCATGTATAGAATTCAAAAAGAGATTCTTGTCCAGCTTGTTAAAGAAATGTTTGATCACTGGAAGTAAGCACTCGGTTCTTGAAGTGAAAAAGTTATCTTTTGTATGATGCTTGGCAGTTTCATCCCCAAACACTGCCAATCCTTGCTCCTCAACAACTAGAAGCCACTCTGAATATGAAATCACTAACTATTATATGCACGAAGAAACAGAAAAAGAAACATCTCGTAAACAAAAGAGGATACATAAAATGGGTAGCTTGTTTCAGTTAACAACAATCAGATCAATCACCGATGACCAAGAAAGAAGTGAAAAACTAACAAACTTGCAAGAGAATAATTGGAGGAACTCACTTATAAGAGCTATGGGAGTGGAAACATTTGGTCTGCTGATCTTTCTACCATCGAATCTTTGACTAGTAACCCAGTTGATCAATTGAATTGGCATACAGGATCTGCAGAAGGCATTTACATAAGACATAGTTTTCCCCTGATCACCTTTTTCCCTGCGACCAACCAGATTTTGAGACTTGTCAGCTGAAACATTCGAGAAAACCCTTCATCCGTCACAGCTACAATAGTATTTTCTATACCTTGCGGACTGTACAGCTAACTCAGCAACAAACAGCCAAGTAATAGCAAAATCTTTCAAGATGTCGGCATGTAGAGAAAATCCTGCTTGAGGATTAATGAATGAATACTCCATTGTCATCACAGAATTGTACAGGGCGTCTTTTAAAAGAACTTCATTTTCAGAACCCTATAGCAAAAAAAGAAGTCAGTTGTTGTATGTAACAGTAAAAATTGGAAACAATACATCATACACTACTTGTTGAAGGGAAAGAGAATAAGTCATTCCATAGAACTAAGTGCTGAAATTACCAACAGATGAAGGTTGCCCAGTATTGAATTCAATGTCCGTGAAGATATTATGGCAATGAATAACAAATGTAGCTAATCAAGCAGTAACCCTTTTCAAAGACAATTAAACTGAAAATCACAACTAAGTAACCATTCATGAATCATGAATAATTGGTTAAATAAATCATTTTACTGAAAAGGTTAATAAAAATAAGTTTTTAAATGCCAAAATCTAAATCATAATTTTCCAACAATTATTAATACCTAAATTCCTGGTCTTACGCAAATTACCATATAAAGAATAAAATTTGAGCCTGGAAAAATATGTTTTGCACACCAATAAAAGTACCCTTTGGATCTAATTGCATGCTAACCTGATTATCCTCTATTAGATGGAAGTGTCATCAAGACATGACTGGCCTCTATTAAACATAAGCCATGCGGGCTACGAAGACATAATTTTCTGGAGAAAAAGGTGCTTTGCCTAAAAGACCTTAACTCCAAAATATGATTGAGGAAAACTAGAGCAAAGAAGACATGATACTGACCAGTAGAGAGATCACTGGTAAAACTGGCTCCAACATCATCCTGAAAAGGGTATCTGACATGCACCAATCAGCAATCAGGAAGTGCAAACATGAAAACTGTAACGAGGTCACCCAAGAAAGCACAACGATTTGACCAATGTCAAGCTGAGAAATAAATAAAGGGTAAAAGAGGGATCGAACTAAGGAAATTAACAAGCACCGATATCTAGTCATCTGATTAGTTTGGTTACATGAGACAACTCTGAATGAACTGTTCAAACAACATCAAAACCGACCCTCATATTAGAATGGGAACATAAAAAAAACAAACAAAACTTCATTCCATCAAGATCCATCTTCTTAAAATGCTGAAGAACCAACAAGTAAACTCTAGAGTATGAAACAAAACTTTAAATATTTCAAAAAAAGGGAATGCTAACTAATACCGTAAAAGCACAGTTTCAAAAACATTAAGATTTTATATTGAATACTTCCCATTTCTTATACAAAAATATTAAATGTCTATATAGTCTAAAATATAATCAAGGGCATGCTAAACTCATGACACCTAAGATTTAGCAAAATCACACTTGTTATCTCTCCCATACACCCTACACAAACCTTCCTTAATTTATATGATAACATAGCACTAACACTTTGTATCCTTTCCGTTAATCCAAACTACCCCCAATTGCATGTGTTGCTATATGAATTGACTATTGACGAATGTCCATGTAATACCAGAAAGGAATGAGGTATTAGGTGTAATTTCTTTGACTCAGAGTGCAAGTAATTTGTCCAATAATAAATACTTCACGTTTCATACATAAAACTGATCAAGTGTCGAGATGCACAACAGCCAAAACACACACTATCTTCATTGTAAAAAGTCATAAGCAATGCCACAAAAAATTCCTTCAGAAAATCAGATAATAAAAAGCTTAAAGCATATTTAATAAAAGATATAAAATTCAAACAAAAATTTCAAAATCTTTGTTTTCATTCAACACTTTCCATTCTTGAATTCTCAACAATTGTTACAAGACACTGCTTCAAACTATTGAAAACATATAACAGGACATCTTAAATGTTAATTTCCTCAAATAGTCTAACTCAAACTCCAGCTAAAAAATAAATACATTAAATTAATCTAAAAAAATTACAAGTACCTGTCAATCTAATTCCTAAAACTTTAAAATAACCATTTCTTTCTTAAGAGGTTGTTTGAGAGGGCTTTTAGAGGGAAGGATAAAATTATCATTTTTAAATTAATAGAAATATATAATATTTATGATAATAAATTATTAATACATTATATTTACAATAATCTATCATTTTATATATTTAATTTTAAAATTTTATAAAATTAAAATACATTCGTTAAAAAAATGTTGCCCCCCTTCCCCTCCCCCTCCACAAACAATCCATAAAATTACAGCAAATCGATTATGTAATCCTTATTTTTATAACCAAACTTCAAGCCTTCAAATTCAACTACTAAGACGACCCTGTTTCACACTCGAAAATAAAGAAATGTTAATTTGAGAAAACAAGGTCTTACCCAAAAAGTGAAAACTCCGAAACCCAGTTATGGTCTGAACCGCTGAAGCAAGCAACTTCTCCTCCATCTCCACCTTGCTAATCCCCGCCTCAAACCCCAAACACATTTTCAACAAAAAAGCTTCACACATAACAACACCAGCTAAAAACCCTACCTCACAACCCATCTCAATCCCCTTCCGAAACCGATCACTCACAAAGGGGAAAAACCCCTTAACACAATCCCCATCACAATCATCAACCATCCAAACCGTTATCAAATCCACAAAATCACCCTCCAAAACCGCCACGTCATCATCATAAACCTCCTTATTACCACACAAAATGCTTATATAACCAACAACAGCTTCTACTAAACTCTCCACCTCGCTCTTCAACTCTCTCTCGCGAAGCATTAACCGGCACAACTCGAAGAGCAAGGGTGCAAGTGCAGCGATTCTAGTCATAGACCCGCAGGTAGCAGAACAGGAAACGAGTACGCGGAAGAGATCCTTAACGGCGGAAATTGTTCTCGAAGGTTGTCGGAAACGCGAAGTGTGAAAATCAAGAGCAGCGTAGAACCATAGGATTTGGATGGGAGGGTTTGGAGTTGTGTGGAGCATTCGGGAGAAGATTGAGGAGAAATCGGCGAAGTCGGTGACACCTCTTCGGTATTCGGCGAAGAAACGGTTGATTGATTCTTTGAGCATTGGTTGGTATGGGAGAACATCGTTTTTGAGGTTCATTTTGAGAATCAATGGAATTGAGAATTGGAATTTGAATTGAGACAGGGAAAGAGGAACCCTAGGTTTTGTTAATGCAGCAGAGAAAACGCGAGGGAATATGCACTTTGGTAACGGGCGACTTTTTTGAATTACAATTTTTTGTTTTATCTTCTTCGATAAATATATGTTTATTTTGTATCTATAATGACCAAAAACTCCCCTTCAATTAGTCATCAAATTATATGCGTTTATATTTTAATCTTTGAATTTTAAATTTTTTTTGTTTAGCTTCTAAATTTGTAAAATGATATTTACTTTTATTTTTTTTTAAATATAGTAAATCATAAAGTAAAAAGTAACTTTTTACGATTAAGAATTAATGAAAGTTTTTGAAATTTGAAAAGCTGAGATGTACAGGCCTATTAAAACAAATCCAGAAATACAAATTTTCATATATTTTTTTTTTCTAAGAAGAGGGTAACCTAGTAAAGGGAAATTTTAATAGATGATAATTTTTTTAGCATTTAATGAATTTAATTAGTTAAAAAATTAGCATAAAAATTAATTTTTTTTATCCACATAATGTAAATTAACTATTTTACAATGTTGAATTAAATTTTTAATCTAATTAAGATATAACATGTCTCCAAGGGAAATATGTAAATTAACTTAAAGTTTCTACCAATGCTCCTTCTAAACCAAACCAATCATAAACCTGAAAGAAGAATAGAGAGTTCGGAAATAGCACCACCTCTGTCAAGTTTTTTAGTATAACCCTTACGATTTTGAGTAACTAGTTCGAAAATGTATTTAATGATTATGATGATAATTAAATGAATAATATACATATATATATTATCCATTTATTTGTTAAATATAAAAAATTATTTATAATTATTATAAATTAATATTTTAGTCTTTAAAAATATAAAAAATAAATTTTAGTTGTTAAAATTGTCATAAAATAATTATTTTTGCTTCTCAAAACTTATAAATATTTATCAATTAATTTTTGAAATTATAAAATTATAGTCATTGAAATTAGTAAAATAAATAAATAAATAAAAGTTACATACAAACTCAGCAACGGACACTCCGAATGTTTTTGAGTCAAAACTTATAAAGAAACTTTGAATTTATCACAGTTTGACATAAAATTGTGTTATTTTATAACATGGGCACGTGTTGACACTCTTCACATTAGTAATTTTAGGAACTATTTTTTTTCATAATTCTAAGGAGTGCATTAATAAATGTCAACGATGTTATACATTAAAATAATTGATTTTCAATAGTTTTAGAGAGTATTTTTTATAATTTTATATACAAATTGAAAAAGTATATACAGTAGAAACTCTTTAAATTAATACTCGATAAATTAATAAACTCTCTAAAATAATAAATTTATCCGGTCCCGACTTGGGCCAATATAAAAAATTGAAAAACTCAATAAAATAATAAGATAATAATTTTTCAAGAAATCCTTTTATAATTTTCGGTCCCAAGAAAATCATAAATTCATAGAAACTGAAAAAAAATATATTACACTCTATTGAAATATGATTCAATAGTTGTCTATTTTCCTTTAAAGTTCAAGTCTATTTGGAGTTCATCTCTAACTTTTCTTATTGCATCCAATAGCTCAGGTGTTGTATTTTTGTATTGTATCATAAAGTTGTGAAGAGTGTTCGACGCCATAAGTGCTTCCTTTCGCGTAACAAGCTCCAAAAATACTGTATCATCTTCGTCGTCATCTTCTGCATTGTTCTCAATGATAGTACCCACAATATCTTCTAAACTCTTAACCTCCGAACATGCTTCATTTTCACCTGGGTAGTTCATTAGATTGTCGATATCCATCTTATTATGATAGCCACATTGATTGATCATAGTTTCGAGGTCTTGAGTTTCTTCATCAAAAGTGGATTCATCCAAATTTCTTGCAACGTCACTATCTGAACGAATTTTACAGTGTCGGAAGCAATTCGCTATTGTTTCTTTTCGAACATCTATCGTTCAAGCTGGGATTGCCAAATTGATAGCATCAAGGACATTTATCTTCCCTGGATCATATTGTCCCACCTCATAACCTTACAATATTTTTCGGTAAAACCTTCTACGGTAATGCATCTTGAAAGCTCTTATTATCCCAGCATTGCAAGGTTGAATCTTTGATGTCATGTTGGGTGGCAAGAAGAACAACTCAACGTTTCTTAGCCCTTCAATATTTCTTGGATGTGCTGGACAATTATCCACCACAAGTAGAACTCTTCTACCATGCATCATTTGGTCAAATGAACGGACATATTCATCAAAAAGCACACTAGTCATCCATGCTTTTTTGTTAGCTCGATACTGATAATTCAAGCTATTCATGTTGACATTCTTGAAGCAATGAGACTTTGCATATTTCCCAATAATTCATAGAGGGATTTTTTCAGAGCCATCTTCATTGCAACAAATAACTACAGTCAGTCTTTCTTTATCTTATTTTCTTCCTTCAAGTTGTTTTGTTGCCAGTGAATGATCAGCTTGTAGCCTATAAAACAACCCAGTTTCATCCATATTGAAAACATCTTTCATAGGGAACTGATCAATTTTCTCCCGAATCGATACCAATTTCTGTTCCATGTCTTGTATATTAACAAACTCACTCTCACCAAAACGACGAAATGACTTTATGCCATGTCGGTGCTTGAATTTCCCAAGCCATCCTATAGAGAAGTTAAAATCTGAATCATCATGAGGGTACACGAGTTTCATTGTATCTCTTGCCTTCTGCAAAATTAATTCTCCTGTGATATTCACACGTTCTTGATTCTGGAGAAACCACTCATAAACAACCTTCTCCATGTCAGGATATTTTGCTGGTTTGTGTCTTTTGATCTCTGCTCTTCTCTTTTCTATTTTAGCAGAAAGATAGTCATCTGACCGCTTAAGTGTGTTTGATATTGTTCCTTGACTAACTTTCAACTGAAATTTTCCCTCAAGCCATCTCTGCAAGTCTTTTTGTGTGCTTGCAGGATTATCTCTCTTATACTCACACAACTCCTTACGTATTTGATCTGACATAGTTAATTTTGCAACACCTTTTAGATGAGAAGCCATCTTGTGAGATATGGTTTGAATACTCTAACACATTCATGTAATTTATATATGTCAAACTTGCTTAAGAATACATTGAACACATTTGTTCGTCTTGTTTACATTTACTGTACTTCAAAAGTCATTATTGATTTCCAATGCATATGTAGTGTAGTTACTAATTTACTGTACGTTGAGTCCCAAGGTTCGCTGCAATGTAATTCTAAGAGGCATAGATTAATTTGCCTTTTTGTTTGGTATGTACAGTATAATTACTTAAAAACTCTTTAAATTAATAATTATTAATTTATCGATAAATTAATAACTCTTAAATTAATAAAAAAATTTCGGTCCTAACATTATTAATTTAAAGAGTTTCTACTGTATGTTTATATGTGTTAAAAATAATTTATTTTTATTATTTATATAAATAAGTATAATTGTAAATTTTTATTGATATGTTTTTTTTTTATAAATGCAGGATGAGTAAGGTTATTATTATTGTATATTAGAATGGAAAAATTGTTGTTGGTAACAAAGGTGTGACATTTGAAAGTAACAAAAAAATGATAAAGATAAAAAGAGGGATAAGTTTTATGAATTTAAAGAAAAAGATTCATGACAAATTGAATCTTAGTAATAATCATGTCATATCTATAATTATTTCTTGGTTTATGGTTGATTCAAGCGCTAAACAATATAATGCATTGGATATATGTGATGATGAAGATATTGATTGTATGATTAGTACGTATCAACAACAAAATATTACAATTGTTATTGAATTATATGTGGATATTGCATTTGGTGAGAGTTTAAGAGTTAGGTCAAATATGTTGAACTTAAGCTTATCAATGTCACCGGCTAATCTCATGGAAATGGAGAATATAAATGTTACAGATGGTATAAATTATATTGTTTCTCCTTAATTTTAATTTATTTTTAGTGACAACACATATTGAATAAGTGTATGTATTTTGAAGGATGTGGAGATTTATACAGCTATGAAGATGAAGATGAAGAAGTCAATAATGAGGATGATATTGATGAAGGACATATTTCGTTAGACAGCTCGTCAGATACAGACGTTGATGGTGATTTTGATTCAAACTTAAATTTACAACAAGAAAATGTTGGAGGTAACATTTACAGAGTATATTGATTATGTCATTTAATTTATTTTAATGATAAATAATTTATTTCAATATTTAGTTGTAGGTGAAATACCTTTTTGTAATGTAAGTCCACACTACAATTATATTAATTGGGACCATCCAGACCAAGAAATTGAAGTAGAAGAAATTAATGAAGATATTTCATGGGTTATTGGTGATCCGTTATGTGTGGGTTTATTATTTGACTTGAAAGACGAAGTGAAAAATGCCTTAAAACAATATGCAATAAGGATACATCAGAATTATTTTGTTGTTGAGTCAAAACCAACAAAGTTGCATGTGAGGTGTTTAAACCATAACAATTGTTGCCCATAGAGAATAAGAGCATCATTGCTAAAAAATTCAATAAAGTGAAAAATAACAAGGTGTGGGGTTAAGCATACATGTCTTAACCCTTCAATATCTCAAGATCATACCAAACTAGATTCATATTTGATTTGTTCATATATAATTGGTAAGTTTTGTATGACATTTGTTTTTGTGAAGCCTTTTATCAATAAACGTACTTAGTTCTTTTGTTGTATTTTGTGTAGGTATGGTTAATCTTGAATCATCATTGCCTATAAGTCTAATTCAAGAAAGGATGACAAGTCAATTTGGATATAAAATTTCATACAAAAAAGTATGGAAAGCGAAATAAAAGGCGATTGTTAGAATATTTGGTGATTGGGATAAATTATATGCTACATTACCAAGATGGTTAGAGTACATGCAATTTCATGCTCCAAGGTCTGTTTATAAGATTGAAATGAAATCATTTGT